CCCCTGTGGGTGTTTGAGTTTGAGACCCTTGGACCAGGATGAGAGGCATAGAACACTAGGAGGGTTTGCTTCCTCAAAAAGGTTTCGCCTGCCCAGCCGGCATGGCTGCGTGGCTGAGTGTCCACCTATGAACTAGTGCAGTGATGGTGAACCTTTTGAGCTCGGCGTGTCAGCGTTTTGAAAAACCCTAACTTAACCCTGGTGCCGTGTCACATATTGAAATTTTTTTATATTTGCAACCATAATAAAACAAAGATGTATATTTTTGATATTTATTTTTATATATTTAAATGCCATTTAACAAAGAAAAATCAACCAAAAAATGAGTTCGTGTGTCACCTCTGACACGCGTGTCATAGGTTCGCCATCACTGAACTAGGAGGTCATGGTTTGATTCTTGGTCAGGGCATATTGCCTGGGTTGCAGGCTCAATCCCCATTGTGAGGCACGCAGGAGGGAGCCAATCAATGATCTCTCTTGTCATTGATGTTGCTCTCTCTCCCTCTCCCTTCCTGTCTGAAATCAATAAAAATATATTTTTTTAAAAAATATTCTGGCCCTGACCAGTTTGGCTCAGTGGATGGAGCGTCGGCCTGCAGACTGAAGGGTCCCGGGTTCGATTCCGGTCAAGGGCATGTACCTTGGTTGCGGGCACATACCCAGTAGGGGGTGTGCAGGAGGCAGCCGATCGATGTTTGTCTCTCATTAATGTTTCTAGCTCTCTATCCCTCTCCCTTCCTCTCTGTAAAAAATCAATAAAATGTATATTTTTTTAAAAAAGGTTCTGTTAGAATCTGTGCCCAGTGGCTGTTTGTGGCCCACGTAAACGAGGGAGTGATCTTCCTTCAGGCACCACACCTGCGATGTGATCAAGACCAGCTCAGCTTTCCCAAACGCATTACTTTCTGTATCTCACGGGTGGCATGAGTAGTGTGCCCAGCAGTGTGCAGGGCACAAGACAGGATGTGTGGAGTACAGTTGCATGAATGAGTGACTCAATGGATTCATTTGTTCATTCATTCAGCACCTGCCATGTTCTCGGGGCTGAGTGGCAGGTTGGCACATAGGGTATGGGCCCAGAGGACATAAAGCAGTGCAAGGGATAGAGAGATGGGGAGCCCTCCTCTGAGGAGGGCTGGGGCACCAGAGGGATATCTAAGGGCATCCATCCATCCTTGAGAGAAAAAGCTGAGAGGCAGGACTGTTTGTTGTTTCTGAGTTTTTCAAGATGGCAAGGATGGCGGAGGGAAGAAATGGATGAATGAAGTGGGTGGGTGAATAGGTGGAAGGAAGGAAGCATGAATGAATGATGGATGGGTAAATCCATGGGTTGATGAATGAATTCATGGGTGCAAGAATGGCTAGGATAAATGGATGGACTGTGGCTGCTGCACAGGTGGATGGGTGGGTCACTGCGTGATGGGTGAACTGCAGCAGGGATAAATGGATTGGTTGGTGGGTGAATCAATGGATGGGACTGAATTCATGGATGGATGAGTCAGTGAATGGGTGTGACTGAATAGCCTTCTCCCTGCAGCTGCCCATTGTGGCATCCTCCATCGTGTCCCTGTACTTCCTGGAGCTGACTGACCTCTTCAAGCCAGCCAAGGTGGGTTTCCAGTGCTACGACCGCACGCTCTCCATGCCCTACGTGGAGACCAACGAGGAGCTCATTCCACTGCTCATGCTGCTCAGCTTGGCTTTCGCTGCCCCTGCAGCCTCGGTGAGTCCCAGAGTCCAGGGGTCTCGGCCAGCCTGTGGGCACCCCCAGCCAGGATCCAGCTGAGCCACCCCCCCTGTCGGCAGATCATGGTGGGCGAGGGCATGCTGTACTGTCTGCAGTCTCGGCTCTGGGGCCGCGGAGGTGGCCCAGGTGGGGCCGAGGGCAGCATCAATGCTGGCGGCTGCAACTTCAACTCCTTCCTGCGGCGCACTGTGCGCTTTGTGGGTAAGTCCCTGGACAGCACCCCAACCCTCCCCCCATCTATAGCCCGGGGTGGGTGGGTCCTGGCCCCCTGGCACCGGCCCTGACCCTTTCACCTGCAGGAGTCCATGTGTTCGGCCTGTGTGCTACGGCCCTGGTGACAGACGTCATCCAGCTGGCCACGGGCTACCATGCACCCTTCTTCCTGACCGTCTGCAAGCCCAATTACACACTGCTGGGCACCTCATGCGAGGCCAACCCCTACATCACGCAGGATATCTGCTCTGGCCAGGACACCCATGCCATCCTGTCTGCAAGGTGAGCAGGCCCAGCTCCTGTGCCATTCAGTAGGGAGAAACTGAGGCACAGAGGGATTTCAGATACAGCGGGGCTCACATGGATGACTCTTACAGGAAGACCTTCCCATCCCAGCATGCCACGCTGTCGGCCTTTGCTGCGGTCTATGTGTCTGTGAGTCCCCAGGCCCAGGATCGACTCATCCTACC